TGCTCTGCAAGAAGGCGTTCTTCATGTCGAGCTGCATCAGGTTGAGGTTGCGGACGGCGACGATGCTGAGGAAGATCTTCAGCGTGACGTAGCTGCCCACCGGCGCGAACGTCTCGTCGTAGTCGGCGTCGTACACCTGCGTGAAGCCCTTCACAACCAGCCTCGCCTTCTCGCGCTCAACGGTGTCGTCGACGTGGTACTTCGTCGTCAACACCCACCGGTTCTTCATGACGTTCACTCCCGGCGGACGTTCGACCAACTCCCACGTTCCCATGTTGAGGAGGCTGCGAATCTCCTCCTCCATGGCGGCCTTCACCGCCGGGCCCTTCCAGCTCGCCAACGCCTCCTTCACCGTCATCGTCGAGATGTCCCAACGGTGCTCGAGGTCGGCTAGCATGTCGGGGTCGAGCTCTGGAAACTCCTCATCCTCCTCGGCATCGTCGTACAGCAGGTCGTTGGCCTAATCGTCCACGTCGTACACCGTGGTGAAGGCAGCGGGGACGAAGAAGTCAGGCGGTCTCCGAAGTCGGCCTTAACGCCGTGGTCCTGGCTGGACCTCCTCGGCGTCCCCTCCATCGTTGCTGTTGTTGCTGCCCTCGGCGTCCTGCTGCTCCTCAGCCGGCATTCCAGCCGACTTCTCCCCTATGGTCGGCTCCCCTGCCGACTGCCCAGTCGCCGACTGCTCCTTGGTCGGCGTCACTGCTGTCTGCTACTTTGTCGGCCGCTGGTCCTCGACCTGCTTCTCGACCTGCTCCTCCCCTGTCGACGTTGACTGCAATCCCAAGTCGACCTGCCGCTCGTCACGTCGGCCACCGGCGATGAACTTGGCCGAAGGCAACGTCCCACTACTCCCCTCATCGCCGGAGGCCGACACCGAGGTCAGCCCACGCAGGTCGGCCACGAGGGGAGGGGCAGCGGTCGGAGGGGGAGGGGTAGGGGGGCAGACGTCCTCGACGTCCGTAATAGCAAGCTCACCGACCTCGGCAAGCAGTGGCAGCGTCGCCGACGAGGTGTCAGAGGGCGGGGTGGGCGACGAGCGGCCGGACACCGACCCGTACTCCGTCTTCCACTCGGCCAGCGACAGCTCCTTGTAGAACACCACATCCGACGTGGTGACCACCCGGTCGGCGTCGACGTCGAGGAGCTCCCAGCCCTTGCTCGCCGTCGACACGCCAAGGTGCAGGCCCCACCTGGCCTTCGGCTGCAGCTTCCCACCACGCTGCTGCTCGGTGACTAAGAACTGCGCCATGCAGCCCCACACCCGCGCCAGCGACAAGTCGGGCTTCTTCCCGGTCAGCAGTTGGTACAGCGTCGTCCCCGGCGGCAGCGCCGACCTCTCAAGGCAGTTGCGGACCCAGACGGCCTGCCGGAGAGCGAGGTGCCACCACTGGTGCTGCACGCCCATGTGCAGCAGCATTGTCCGCACCGACTCCACCACCGTCCTCATCTCCCGCTCCGCCATGCCGTTCTGCTGCGGGGTGTATGGGCAGGTCAGGTCGTGGACGATCCCCTTGCCGTTCACGAAGTCGGTGAACTGCTTCCCGAGGAACTCCCCTCCCCGGTCAGAGCGCAGCATTAACACCGACCTCTTCGTCTGCCGCTCAGCCAGTGCCAGCCACTGCACAAACGCCGGCAACGCATCTGACTTCTTGGTGACCGGCTTCACCCACACGTAGCGGGTCTTGCGGTCCTTCAGCAACAAGAAGTACAGGCTGCCATCCTTGGCAGCCACGCGGAATGGCCCGCACAGGTCGATGTGCACGACGGCCAGCACATCGTCGGCGTCGGAGCCTTGGTCGGGGAAGGTGTGCCGCGCCAGCTTCCCGCCGACGCACGAGACACACGGGGAGTCGGCGCCCGTCGCCGACTTGGGGTCCAGCCCAATGGCGACCTCGTTCTTCGCCGAGCTCCGTATGGTGTCCATGCCGACATGTGCAAGCCGGGCATGCATACGGTCCGGCGTCGACTTCGTCTTCGAGACGATCGCCCGCAGAGCCACAACCTCCGTCGTGGGCGACGTCGACCTCGTTGAGCAGGGACGCAGGTCGGTGCAGAGGACACGCCCGGAGTACGTCGCCCGACCGAGCACCTCTCCCGTTGCCGAGACGAGCACCATCCCGTCGCCGTCCTCTTGCACCTTCACGCCGTGCTCCTTAAGCTGGCCGGACGACAGTAAGTTCGCCCGCACACCCGGGACGTACAGCACGTCGGGGATGAGCACCTGCTTCCCGGCCTCCCCTTGCAGGGCGACGGTGCCGCGGCCCTGGACATCCTTCAGCGCCCCATTGAAGCCGCGCACGTGCTTGATGAAGCCGCTCGGCTGCAGGTCGACGAAGACTTCCTTCGTCCCCATCAGGTGGTGGGAGCAACCGCTGTCGAGCAGGACCACCGCCGGGTTCGCCTGCACAGCTGCCGCCACCGCCTGGAAGTCCTCTCCGGCCTCCGGCGCCAGCGAGACTGTCGGCTCCACGACGCCGACCAGCGAGCACGACGCCGTCTTGTCATCCCGCGCCTTGCTGCCAGCAGGGGAGTCGGCGTCGTTCGCCGAAGTCGACGTCTTGGTCGACTGCTTCTCCTTGCGCGGCCGGTTTCCTCCTCGACGAGGACGACGACTGCTCGACCTCCCGCGGCCGCCCTTGTTGTCGTCGTCGGAGTCACTGCGGTCAGGACACTCGAAGGAGAGGTGATTGGGGCTGTGGCAGATCCAGCACTCCCGACGTCGACCTCCCCCTCCTTGACCGCCGTCCTTGGTCGACTTCTTCTCGACCTCCTTGGTCGACTTCCAGCCACCGCTCCCGCCGCCACCAGACTGTCCGCGCTCTCCTGGTCGGCCTCCTTGCTTCGCCGGGGCGACGAAGTTGGCCTACACCAAGAGTTCCTGTGACCGCTCAGCTTCCTGCATCGCCTCGTCCTGCAGGATGTATGAGGTCAGGTTTAGCGTCGCCCTTGTGCTCGGCGCCATGGACAGCCGCTTCAGGAGGTTATAGTTGCTAGAAAGTCCCTGCATGACATGGGTGATGTACGACGCCGTGGAGTACTGCGCGCCGGCCATCCTGATAGTGGCGAGAATTCGCCGGGCTCGGTTGCAGTAGTCAGTCGCTGTCTCCTCGTCACCCATACGCAGGTGCGTCAGCTGTCCCTCCAGCTGGGCGATGAACAGGTCATCGGTGACCTGGTACGTCGACTCAATGAAGTGCCACGCCCGGTGGCCGGCGTCGATGTACTCCCGGCACCACTTTAAGGCGATCTGCATGCCCGGCGAGCAGCACCGCGAGATGACCGTGAAGGTCAAAAGCTGCACGGCGCGGAACTCCGCTCGCAAGTCGGGGTGGTGTTCTCCAGGCGTCACCACGGTCCCTCGGGCGAAGCCGATCAGCCCAGCCATCTCCAGCTGGGGCTCGATAGCTTCCTTCCAGGTGAGAATGTCGGGTCGACCGAACAGTGGGGGGGTGACCGAGATCCTGTCCAGCGTGAACTTGAAGTAGCCGTAGCTCGGCGCAATCCCTCCTGCCGTCACTTGGGTCGCCGTCATCGGCGACAGCCCACTACGTCGGCCTCCGACGTCACCCTGCGAAGAGCCTGCAGCCGCTGATGTCTGCATCCCTCGCGCCTGAACGCCGCCGACTTCATCGGCATGTATCACACCTCTTTGCCTCGACGTGCCTCCAGCACTGCTGCCGACTTGACCACCACCGGCGTTGACGCCCACGTCGACGCCGCCTTCGTTGTTCACCGGACGAGGAGAGGCAGGTCGAGACGGGTGCTCCGTCGCCCACGTGGAGCGGAGTCCAGCCTCAATGACCGCCCAGGGCAAGTCACCATACTCGTTGGCCTCGTGCTTCCTCCTCGCGTTCTCCAACCGTGCCTCCAGGGTGTCCACCACCCCCGCGTTACCTACGACTCCTACCATAGTGACTACCGCACAGTTGCCGGCCTGTAACTACGAAATAGGTAAGTGGTGTCTACGTCGACCTGACTGAAGGGTAAGTCGTGTGCCGTCCACGCTCACCGCACCATGCGGAGATAACTACTACAACGGGAGCTTAGAGTACTGGCTAGGCACGTGTGCTCGTGTGATGTCTGCGTTCGTTGGTCCTTAGACGTTTTCCTAGTGCTCACACTGCTTGCTAGTTCACGGGGCAATTTGGCAAGAGTTTCACTAGAGAAAGTTGTCAATAATGGTACAATGAAGTTGGCAATGCAAGACTACATCAGAGCTAGCATTCAGGTTGGTCGACCGCCAGCACAGCATGGTCGACCGCGTTCCAGCACGACTTGGTCGACCACGCTACAGTAGTGCAAAGTCGACAGCTTGCCAACGCTGCAGGTTGACGGCGTGCCAGCATTGCTCACGCAGGACAGCAGTGCACCCGCTTTGCAGGTGCGCGCAGATGATTGGCATGCAAAGTCTCGTCACCTGCACAGCGCACACACCACGTCAACCTCGGGCTAGCGACTGCCTCTGATCCGCCACGACGACCTCGGGATATCACCATGGAGGTCGGTCTCGCCAACTTCGCCTGGGTGACCGTCGCACTCCTTCGCAGAACCTCGTCACCCAGGTATCCTGGTCGACCGGGCAACTATGTCGACCAGCTGCTCCTGTATGTGCTCGTCGACCTCCCAAGTCGACAACCACACCAAGTCGACCTCACCAGGTCGACCACTCCTCCGGTCGACCAGATCCAGGTCGACGTCACTCTTGGTCGACCAGTGCAGTTGTCAGCTACCCAAGTCGGCGTCATCAGGTCGACGCCCCTTCTACGTCGGCGCCGACTTCCAGACTGACCTCTTGAAGTTGGCGACCTCCCAAGTCGGTGCCGACTTGCAAAGTCGGTGACCTTGCAAGTCGGTGACCTTGAAAGTCGGTGACCTTCCGTACATCCCACCACGAAGTCGGCTCCGCCCAAGCGTGGACGGGGCCAACACACAACTCCCGTTGACACCTCCGCCTCTTAGTTCTCCCCTCAACTCCTCTGCTTCTGTCTCCTTCCCCTCCTATGGCGCCCATACTTACGACTCCCTCTCTTCCTCGCCGCTACTGCCCTCTCCCTCCTGCTGCTGTCCCTCATCCCTTACCTTTCCTTTCCCTACCCTACGCGTCATCTGCTCCCCTCTCTCCCTCTTGGACCGCCTCTCCCTTTTACCGCTGGACCTCTCCTCCTATCACGCTTGTGCAGTCTCACCAGCGTCGCCAGTCCCCTGCCCCGCCATCGCTTTCCGTCGCGGCTCCTGGTGCTGACGCTTTTCCCTCTGCTCTCAATGTGACCATGCCTTCTCATGCTAGCATTCTTGGTGCTTCTCCTCTCATGGACCCTCGCTTTGCCATGCCTCTTCTTCCTTCTGCTCCTAGGGTTGTCTCTCCATATTCCTGCTCCACGGTTGCTGCTCTCTCTCTCCCTCGCACCTTGGACTTTGTCCTCAAGAGTGGTGCTACGAACTCTGTTTTTCGTGATGCTGGTGTTCTTCGTTCCTTTCCCCGCCCTCTCTTTATTCATGGAGCTGGGGAGACCATGACCCTGACATGCACCGGCACTTCCTCTCTTCCCTGTCCTGCCTCCCCCTCTGGCGTAGTCATTAGCCTCTATGTTCCCTCCTGTCGTCATAACCTTCTCTCCCTCTCCGCCCTCCAATGCCTTGGTGTGCGAGCGAGTTTTCCCGCAGGTGAACTTTACTGTGATCTTCATTACCAAGACCGCCATCTCGCTCGTTTCACCCTTTCCCCTACCTCTCGTCTCTATACCCTCCGTGTTTCTCTCCCCTCGTCTGCGCATCACACTTCCCCCGCTTCCGCTCCACCCATTTCCTCTTGCGACTGTCGCTCTCTCACCCAACCTACCCTTCTTCTCCATCATCGTCTCGGCCACCCACACTTCCCTCTCCTTTGCAGCATGGTCCATTCGAAGCTACTTCACGATCTTCCCTCCTCTCTCCGCCCCTTCCTCCCTCTCTCGCCCCTCTATGCACTCCTTGTGTTCAAGCCAAGCTCTCTCATTCTCCTCATCCCTCTTCCCCTTCTGCCTCCCCCCAGCCTCTTGATCTCGTGCATATGGACCTCTGAGGTCCTTCCCCAATTGCCTCCCGACAAGGTCACCGCTACTTCCTCCTTCTCATTGATGACCATTCCCGCTTTGCCACTGTCTATCCACTTCGTGCCAAATCTGACGCCCCTTCCCTCATCATTCGTTGGGCTGAACAGGCTCGCCTTCGGTTCGGGCGTCCTGTCGCGCGTTTCCACTCCGACGGGTGTGGCGAGTTCTTTAATCATTCTCTCTCCTCTTACTGCTCCTCTCATGGCATTCGCCAAAACTCGACCCTCCCGCACTCTCCTGAACAGAATGGCGTTGCCGAGCGTCGCAATCGCACTCTCATGGAGATCACTCGATGTCTCCTCACCCATGCTTCCGCTGCCCGCTCTCTTTGGAGCTATGCTCTTGTTCACGCAACTCTTCTTTCCAACCTTCGCCCTCATCCCCTTCGCCCCACCATTACCCCCTTTCAGCTCTGGACGGGCCAGCCCTCTGCTCGCCCTCTTCAGGTGTGGGGCTGTGTCTCATGTCCTCCTCAATCCGGCTGATCGGGCACGTCAGGGTGGGAAACTCGCTCCTAAGATGCAGCTCTGTGCATTCATTGGCATGAACTCTGATTGTCCTGGCTACCTTTTCTATGCTCCCTCCTCTCAGCAGCTCATTCGCAGCCAGGATGTCATCTTTGACGAAACTCGCTCTCCATTTCTCTCTCCCCCTCCCACCCCTCCTGCTCCTTCTCTCCATTGGTCTGACTTTGATCCGCGTCCCTCCCCTCCTCCCTCCGCTGCTCTCTCCCCATCTCCCCTTCCCCCCACCCCTGCTCCTCCTCTCCCGCATGCCCCCTCCGTCCCTCCTTCCGCCGTCACCTCAGGCAAATCTCCTCCTACCTCTTTCTCTTCAGCTCCCACGCCCTCTCCATCACCACCTTCTGATGCTTCCCTTCCTTCTGTTCCCATTCCCCCACCCTCCCCACGCCTCACTCGCTCCATGACCCGCGTAATGTCCGATTTTCAACACTCTGCTCTTTTCGCTCGTCTATCTTCCTCTCAGGACCCCAATCTTCTTGAAGATCGGTTTGAGGAACTCTTCTCTGTTCACCCTGTCTCCCCTCTTCTCTGTGTCACCATCGGCGACTTCAGCAATTCACCCACTCTTCTCTCTGCCGACACTGCCGCCATTCCCATCCCTCATTCCTTTTCCGAGGCCGTTTCTAGCTTTCACGCCTCGGAGTGGATGGCTGCCATCATTCCTGAGTGTGAGGTGTTCACTCATACCAATTCCTATGTCGACTCTGTCCCCCCCCCTGGTGCCACCATTGTCAAGGGCAAATGGGTCTTTCGTGTCAAGTAGTTGCCTGGGGAGCTTCCTCTCTTCAAAGCCCGCTTTTGCGCCAAAGGCTTCACCCAGCGTGAAGGCATTGACTACTTAGCTACTTACTCTCCCACTGCTCGCCTCCCCACCCTTCGCCTCCTTCTTGACCTAGGTGCTCGCTGGGATTGGGAGATCCATTCCATGAATGTTTCCAATGCTTTCCTTCAGGGCGAGCTTCATGAGCGCATTTTCCTTGAGCGCCCCGCAGGCTTTCCTTGCCCCTTTCCTCTAAGCACCGTTTGGGAGCTGAAGCGCCCTGTGTATGGCCTCAAGCAGGCTCCCCACGAGTGGCATGCCAAGCTCGCCTCAACTCTTCACTCTCTTGGTTTCTCCACCTCTACCTCCGACCCCAGTCTTTTCATTCGCACTTCCCCTCACAGGCTTTACATTCTTGCCTATGTGGACGACTTGGTGCTGCTTGCTGAGGATTCTGCCGATTTGGCTGCTGTCAAGAAGGCCCTGCAGGCGCGTCTTCTGTGCAAGGATCTCGGCGAGCTTCGTCACTATCTTGGCATGGAGATTCGTCGCGATCGTGCTGCCCGCACCATCTCTCTTTCTCAGTCATTCTACATTCACTCCATCCTTCAGCGGTTGGAAATGTCCCAGGCCAAACCGGTCTCCACTCCTCTTCCGTTTAACCATCAGCTCACTGCCCCTGCTGTCCCTGCTCCCACCTCAGAATTGCGACCCTATCCAGAGCTCGTCGGGTCACTCATGCATGCTATGATGTGCACTCGCCCTGATCTTGCTTATCCCCTCAGTGTCCTCTCTCGTTTTGTTGGCCTTGGTCGCCACACTGACGTGCACTGGGCGGCTGCCAAGCGCGTTCTCTGCTATCTTCGCGCTGCCTCTGATCTTGCACTCACTCTTGGTGGCTCTTCTCCCCCCATTCTTTCCGGTTACAATGATTCCTCCTACGCTGATTCTCACCCTGTCCGGCGCTCTTCACAGGGTTATGGTTTTAATCTTGGCAGCGGTCTCATCAGCTGGCGCTCTACTCGCTCATCCTCTGTCTGTCTTTCCACCTGTGAGGCTAAGTTGTACGGAGGCATGTTGGCAGCTCAAGAGGCTCGCTGGCTCTCCTTTCTCCTTGCTGAGCTTGGTCACTCTCAGCAGTCTGTGACGCTTTCCTGTGATAGTGCGAGCATGATTCATCTCACTAGAAATCATGTCCATCACGCCCGCACCAAGCACATAGAGGTCCGCTACTACTTTGTGCGCGAACTCGTGCAGTCTGGTTTCCTCTGCCTTCGCAAGGTGGCCGCAGACGCTAACCTTGCTGACATTTTCACCAAGGCCCTCCTTCGTGCGCCGCACCGTTTCTACGTCCACGCGCTTGGTCTCACTCGTCTCGCCACTTCTGGGGATGTTCCGGTTCGCTAGGTGTTATGTTCCAGAGCTTCACCTAGCCTGCGGGTGTGTTGGAGTAGGCTAGTGTTCGCTCTGCATTTCTTTTTGACCTTATATTATTTTTTCAGCCACTATTAGACTTAGTTTCAATTTTGGTTCATCTCAGGTTCACTTAGCAGTTTATCTCTGCATTGAACACGCCCTAGTTTCAGTTGGGGCTTCCCAACCCTATCTTTCAAATGTCTCTCGACTCTTTCTCTAGTTTAACTTTTTTTTTCCTCGTTACTTCACTCGCTAGCCATGGCTGCCGCAAACCTAACATTAACAGAACAGGCAGAAGCCCTAGAGCAGAGCAAAAACACTGATGATCACCAGACCCTAGGGCCTTCGTGAAGACATCAGCAGTGTTTGCCGAGAGGCCATGTAGGAAAGGCGAAGCTGACCACGCTGCTGCAGCTCTCGAGCAAGAAATTAGGGAAGAGCAATGTGCTTCAATATATGCTTCAATATGTGCTCCCAGTCTCTGCTCGTGACACAAGGCCAACGTGGCATTGATGTCAACGTACAGATCTGGAGGAGAACGAGGTCGCTTCCCCAAATCAGTCAGCAAGTAGGTCAGCCAGCATAGCTCCTATGTAGCCATAGCCCAGCATAGATCTCGGCCTCACAGATAGGACCAAGCACAGAAAAAGGAGTGGACCTCCACGAGACAGAACCAAAGCCAATATTGAAGGTGTAACCCTATGACGAACGCTGAGTCACCTGGTCGTCAGCCCAAGAAGCGTCGGAGTGTTGTGTGAGTACCAATGAACCCTCTCCTCCAAGCACGAGCCCCATGCCTGATGTACTGCACAAGTAACGAAGCACCTTCGCAGCATCCCAGTGCACCTTTCAGAGTCTACCGGGAACCATGTGGCGAGCCATGAGGCTGAGAGGGTATGCGAGGTCAGGTCGTGTGCACGTCATCAGGTACATAAGGCAACCCACAAGCTCTAGATATAGACCACTCGGCTCAACGGACTCGTCAGAAGGTGGAGCTGAGAGCGAGTGGCTAGTAGGCAGAGCAGTGGGCTGTGTCGAGGAGTATTGGAAGCGGAAGCACTGAAGGACCTGGTGCACCATGTGTGACTTAGTCAAGGTGATGGTGCGCCGTGCTCTATCTCGGGTGGTCTGCAAGCCAAGATAGCTCCGCAGCTCACCTAGGTCAGCGCAGGTGTGTCTCTCTATAGCTCCGATTTCACTAGGGTCAGCGCCTCACTGTCAGCAGTAGCAAAAACCAAGTTGTCGACATACACGAGAACGTAGAACGGCGGCAGAGAAGTGTCGATGCATAGAAGCAGCGACGGGTCAGCAGAGGAAGGAGCAAACCCAAGAGCCACAAGTGTCGGCCTTAGTGTGTCGTGCCACTTGCGGGGCGCCTGGCGGAGACCGTAGACTGGCCACCAGAGGCTCCACTGGGTAACCTCAAGAAACGACCCAGTGAAGCCAGGTGGGCGGCGCAGTCAGATCTCCACGTGAAGGCTGCCCTGCAAGAAAGCTGTGGAGAAGTCTAGGGAGTGTAGCTCGTAGTCACGTTATGCTTTGACGAGCGGCAACATCCGAATAGTAGTCATCTTCGGGATGGGAGAGAAGATCTGGAAGAAGTCGACCCCTTGTCGCTGACTGAAGCCTCGAGCAACATAACGCGCCTTGAAGGCAGGCGGAGAACCCGGCGGCCGCTTCACTCAGAAAAGCCACATGCCATCGACTATGTTCGCCCAAGGAGGAGGAACCTCGTCGACGTAGGTGCCTGTGGACTTCCAGGAAGCCATCTCTTCGTCCATGGCTGTCCACCACTGAGAGGAGTGCTCACCTGCGATCGCCTCAGCGTAAGAGCGCTAGGTAGGGATGTCAAGTGCATCCGGGTCTTTCTCAGGTCAAAGCAGCAAGGATGCAAAACGAGGTAAAACGTCCGCGAGACACTCAAGCTCAATTTGCCTGTCCTCAAGGACGTCACTGCCAAGGGTAGGCTCACACCCGACGGGCGGAGGATAGACAGGCTCAGATTCAGTAACAAGACTCGCCACATAGTCAAGATGACTCCTAGCAGCAAAGTCTACTAGCTCAGTGACGAGGGCAAACGCAGCAGTAGAATCAAAGTCAGGGACAGTGGCGGCAGTAGTGAGGAGACGAGTGACATGTTAAAGTTATATTTAATATACCCTGCTTGCTGTAGTTACTAAAGTGTAGTTATCTGATTGTTTGCTTGGTGGTGCACCTGTTTGTTTGCTATATGTACCTTTGGTCCTATAGTGAACCCAACCATTCTCAATCCTCCTTGGCACAACACTCTCGACACCCGCTTGGCCTAGGCTTAGTAGCCTAGGCCCGTTAGTTAAACCTGTTCCTAGCTAAGTTCGTCTTGTAACATGACAGTAGGATTGGCAGCACGAGCAAGGTTGTACTCAGGGTCAGGCACGTCAAAAAGAGAGGACGCCGAAGGAGACAGCAGGGCAACACACTGTGGATCAGAGGAAGGATGAAGTGCCATAGCGTGAGTGCCTGGGACAGCAGGAGGACGAGGACGGGCGACCCGACGAGCACGAACAGGTATGAAGGCATGAGACGCAGGCTAACGACGCTGAGTTAGGGAGTCTGGCAGCTTAGCGTAAGGAGAAGGAGCAGGCAGTGGGGAGCCAGATGGCAACTATGACTAACCTGGCGAAGGGCCGATTCAGGCGGTGGCAGGGACGACTGCTGCTGCGGGTAGAAAAACGGTGGGCGCGGCACTGTACCTGTACCGTCAGCAGCTCTAGCACATCCAGTACCTCCAGCTCTAGCACCTCCAGTAGCACCTCCACCACCTCCAGCACCACTAGCTCCGGCAGCTCCAGCACCTCTAGTACCTCCAGTACCTCCAGCTCCAGCGCCTCTAGCATAAGCAGCACCTCCAGCTCCGGCACCTCTGGCACCTCTAGTACGAGCACCTCCATGACCAACAGCTCCAGCACCTCCAGTAACTCCAGTACCTACAACTCTAGCGCTACCAGCACCAGCAGCACCTCTAGCACCTCCAGCACCAGCAGCACCACCAGCTCTAGCACCTCTAGGATGAGCACCTCTAGGACAAGCAGCTACAGCACCTCCAGTACCTCTAGTACCTCTAGCTCCAGCACCTCCAATAGCACCTCCAGTAGCACCTCCACCACCTCCTTACAGACTCGTCACAAGTGACGTCCTGGGAGGACAGGACTCGAAGCGTGCGAGGGTAGTAAAACTGCCATGGCGGATTGTCAGTAGGGACGCCCAGGAAGGCGCAACGTAGAGTGCGAGGAGAGAGCTTGCTCGCGGTGGTATCGCGAACAAGGAAGAGCGCGCCCCAGACCTGAAACGGAGTGTGGGCGAGGTCTCGGGCAACGAGACATGGGGCCAAAGGTTTAGTTGCGGCGTATCGGACCCCAAACGGCCATACAAAATGGGGAACAGCCGCATGGATCATGGAGGTGCAAGCAACCTCCATGAGCAAGCCAATGCGATGCTCAGCAATCCCATTTTGTTGCGGAGAGGCTGGAAGCGTAAACGTCTAGCGGATGCCCTCGTCTTGACATAGCTCCGCAAGGAGGCCGAAAGAGAACTCACCGCCCCTCTCAGAGTGCAGACGCAGGACTGGAAGGTCCCGCTGGAACCGCTCGCGCAACTGGCGACGAGTAGCACGGATCTGGGGGATGAAATCACCGCTGACGTGGAAGGGGAAGGCGGTGGTGTAGCGCGTGTAGTCGTCAACGACCAGCATGAAGTAGCGCTCCTGGTCCGTCCCACTGACAAGGGCCAGGCCCCACACGTCCATGTGGAGAGTTTGCAGAGGAGTAGTGGTCGGAGGAAACGAGGAGTGAGGAGCGGTAAGCTGCCGCCCCTCGACGCAGGGAAGGCACAGCGGGGCAGGCGAGTGTGGGAGGGGGGGCAGGGACCTAGGAAGGCTAGAGACAAGGAGTCGGGAGTGCATTATGTGGAGATGCGGCAGAGAGGGGTGATCGAGTCGGTGGTGCCAGAGAAGAGTCTGATGGGAGTGTACCCGACACCAGCACGGCGTAGCGAACTGACCAGACGCAGACACCTAGCTCGACGCAGCCACCTAACATGACGCAGCCACATGTGCAGACGCAGTGGTCAGGGTGTACAGACTGGACCCAGGCTACCGAATGAACGTAGCAAGGTGACGTCCGGTGCGGGAGCATGTACAGATCGCCACACGATGCCCTGCAAGGATAAAGGCATCAACCCAAACATCCTGAAGGACTGCATTGCTCACCAAGTTCGTCAAGAACGAGGGGAAGTGGAGGCCTGAAAGAGAGCCGGAGGGGACTGCCTGACACGGGAGGGCAGTGGAGGCTCATTCGACGACGAGGCCCCCAGAGGGGTCAGCCAGTGAGACTGGGACATGTGCAGCAAGTGGTGTGTTTGTGGTGCAATCATGAAAGAAGCAACGAGACGCGCCAGAGTCAAGTGTGAAAGTGTGCAAGGCGTCAGCTGAGGCAGCAGACTCACTAGCACCTACGGCAGCAAATGCAATAGCATCTAGAGCGGAAGCAGACTCACTAGCACCTAGAGCAGCAGCACCGACACTACTAGAGACGCGTCGCTGCTGTCCACTACCGCCCGCACGCAAGTAATCCCAAGCTCCAGGACCAAAGCGGCCTCGCTGATTAACCCACTCACGAAGCTGCTGTGGCAATAGAGTGTTTGGATGAGGCAGTGGCTACTGCTGTCCACCCCTAGACGCTGTTACGACCGTGATAGTGGCCATGATAGGCAGTGGCAGCAGTGGCGCAGGCGGCAGCAGCATCTTAGGTGGCAGCACCAACGCAGTAGCAGCAACAGCTGCACAGCAGTGAGCCTAAGGGCAGGGCGGCGTGCAAGCCTAAGGGCACGGCGGCGCGCGGGCCTAAGGGCAGGGCAGCGGAGCTTGCGGGCTGCAGGTCAGGGCAGCTCTCAGGCCTAAGGGCATGGCGGGCTGTAGGGGCGAGCGCGGGCTGCAGGGGCGAGCGCGGGCTACAGGAGCGAGCGTGGCTGCAGGGGGGAGCGCGGGCTGTAGGGGCGAGCATGGCTGTAGGGGCGAGCGCGGGCTGCAGGGGCTAGCGCAGGCTGCAGGGGCGAGCGCGGCTGCAGGGGCGAGCGCAGGCTGCAGGGGCGAGCGCGGGCAGCAGGGGCGAGCGTAGCTGCAGGGGCGAGCGGGGGCTGCAGGGGCGAGCGCGGCTGCAGGGGCGAGCGCGGCTGCAGGGGAGAGCGCGGGCTGCAGAGTCGAGCGTGAGCAGCAGGGACGAGCGTTGGCTGCAGGGGCGAGCGCGGGCTACAGGAGCGAGCGTGGCTGCAGGGGCGAGTGCGGGCTGTAGGGGTGAGCATGGCTGTAGGGGCGAGCGCGGGCTGCCGGGGCTAGCGCAGGCTGTAGAGGCGAGCGCGGCTGCAGGGGCGAGCGCAGGCTGCAGGGGCGAGCGCGGGCTGCAGGGGAGAGCGTAGCTGCAGGGGCGAGCGGGGGCTGCAGGGGCGAGCGCTGGCTGCAAGGGGAGCGCTCGCCCCTGCAGCTAGCGCTCGACTCTGCAGCCTGCGCTCTCCCCTGCAGCCGCGCTCGCCCCTGCAGCCGCGCTCGCCCCTGCAGCCCCCGCTCGCCCCTGCAGCTACGCTCTCCCCTGCAGCCCGCGCTCGCCCCTGCAGCCTGCGCTCGCCCCTGCAGCCGGGCTCGCCCCTGCAGCCTGCACTAGCCCCGGCAGCCCGCGCTCGCCCCTACAGCCATGCTCACCCCTACAGCAGGGGCGAGCGCTGGCTGCAGGGGCGAGCGCAGGCTGCAGGGGCGAGCGCGGCTGCTGGGGAGAGCGCGGGCTGCACAGTCGAGCACGGGCAGCAGGGGGCGGGCTGTAGGGGCGAGCGCAGGCTGCAGAGGCGAGCGCGGCTGCTGGGACAAGCGCGGGCTGCAGGGGCGAGGGCGGCTGCAGGGGCAAGCGCGGGCAGCAGGGGCGAGCGCGAGCTGCAGGGGCGAGCGAGGCTGCAGGGACGAGCGCGGGCTACAGGGTCGAGCGCAGGCACCAGGGGCGAGCACGGCTGCAAGGGCGAGCGCGGGCTGCAGGGGCGAGTGCGGGCTATAGGGGCAAGTGCAGCTACAGGGGCGAGCGTGGGCAGCAGGGTCGAGCGCGGGGTTCAGGGGCGAGCACGGCTGCAGGGGAGAGTGCGGGCTGCAGAGGCAAGCGCGGACTGCAGGGTAGGGCGGCGCGCGGGCCTAAGGCAGGGCAGCACAGCGCGCCTAAGGGCAAGGCCGAAAAATATAGACGGGCAGGGCAGGGCGGAACGATCGGTGGGCCCTAGGAACGATCATGCTATGAAACTATGTTAAAGTAGGAAGACAGGAATAATGGATGACTAGCAATAGGGAGATACAAGTATGAAACTCTAACCGGGGTTGTACTATATACTGAGCACCTCACTGTAGCCTAGAAGAACTAAGAACATACAAACATGTTTTGACACTTATACCTTGTCATTCACTTGTACAATTGGATTCGTTCATGTTGATACCTGAATCTTATGTTCGGCCGTACCATCCGCGGTATTTATCGACAATGCTGGGACGGTCGAGCAAATTCATGGTTTCAACATGATACGTACGTAAGTAATTGGCTTCACATTCAGGAATATCGCATTCAAGATTGATTCTTATTCACTTCTTGAGGCGTTTGTTTGAACCAGGGTCTGTGCTAGGGTTTAGGGCATCCTGAGGCCTCAGGGCAACTCTTAAAAGGTAAAAACGTGCCCTGATATTTCATGGCAAAACTATTTGGCCATCTTGAAGTTTTAGGGTATATGTAGGCCTTAACCTGGTGTCTCATGGCAAAAATATATGAGTAATGCAGCAACGAGAGAACATCGCGACTCAGGGTGCATGCGATAAATGAATGTGCATAGTGGCAAAGGACCGTTTGTGCCATTGCAATACTAGATTCTGGGGGGAAATGAACACATGCCATCCCTTCTCCCCCCCTCCCCCCTCCTTTACTCGTGTAAGGGCGTACATTGCTTTCATCCATCAGGGCTTCGTTTTGGATTTGGCCTACTCACGATTGGCAATGTAGCTTTTTCAAAACCCTTATGGGCAGTGTGTACTTTTCCGTTACACTGATAGAGCAGTGTAACATCAGGTTTTAAAAAATTTACCGTGCATCATCAGTGTGGTTTTTTTTCGAACACTAACAAATGTTCGCAAAGTCTTGTGGTTAGACCTAGTGCAGCCACCAATACTGTAGCTGCTGCCAATATTCGGTTTCGTGGCGTGCTAGCAAGGGATGTCAAACTATAATGCTGCTTATGCTGTGTAGGCTGTAGTGGGGTAGCCTATTTGGGGTACAACCCAATTAGGGTTAGTACTTGTACTCTGTTTGATGTCAATGCAATCATTCGTGCTCGTTAGTTTCTGACATGGTTGCAGAGCAGTAGGTCCGTAGGACCGTTTTTTTTTTTTTTTTTTCGGGCCCACCATTACCTAGTGACCGACTGCGGCTATCGCATTACCCCACGCCCTGCCCTGCGCTGCGCCGTCAGCGCGCGCCCTGCCCTGCCCTGCCTTGCGTCACGCTGCCCCACGCACGCCCTGCCTTGCCTTGCGTCGCGCCGCCCCGCGCACGCCCTGCCCTGCCTTGCGTCCCGCTGCTCCACGCACGCCCTGCCCTGCCCTGCGTCGCACTGGCCCGCGCACGCCCTGCCCTGCCCCGCGTCACGCTGCCCCACGCATGCCCTGCCCTGCCTCACGTCGCGCTGTCCCGCGCACGCCCTGCCCTACCCTGCGTCGTGCTGCCCCGCGCACGCCCTGCCCCGCGTCCTGCTGCAGCCCGTGCGTCGCGCCCTGCTGCAGCCCGCACATGCGCCGTGCTGCCCTGTGTGACGCGCCCTACGGCAGCCCACGTGTCGCACTCTGCTGCCCCGCGTGTTGCACTCTGCTGCCCCGCGTGTTGCACTCTGCTGCTGCCCGCACGTCGCGCCCTGCTGCCCTGCGTGTTGCGCCCTACGGGGCCCTGCGCGTCGCGCTATGCTGCCCCCGCGCGTCGCGCTCTGCTGCAACCCGCACGTCGCGCCCTGCTGCCCTGCGCGTTACGCCCTACGGCAGCCCGCGCGTCCCGTTCTGCTGCCCCGAACGTCGCGCTCTCCTGCAGCCCGCGCGTTGCGCCCTGCTGCCACGCGCATCGCGCCCTGCTGCAGCCCGCACGTAGCGCCCTGCTGCCCCACGCGTCGCGCCGTGCTGCAGCCCGCGCATCGCGCCCTGCTGCCCTGCAGAGCGCGCGCCCTGCTGCCCGCGATGCCCAGGCTGAGCCGCTCCACCCAGCCTGAGCCGCCTTGCCCGAGCCGCCTTGGCCAACCCGATCCGCCCTGCTGCTCATACTACTGCTGCTGCTGGTGGAGGTGCTGCTAGGAGTGCTGGAGGTGCTACAGCCTAGTCTCACCGAGCCGCCCTGCTGCTCTTACTTCTGCTGCTGCTACTCGTGCTAGTGCCTTCCCTACGTACTGACCTACTGGTCGCGCGCCTCCTTGCTTGCCTGCTATGACTTCACTTCGTAGTAGCGGTGGGAGTGGTGACGGCGGTGGTGGCAGAAGTGGGAGTGGTGGCGGCTGTAGTAGCAGTCCCTGTGGAGCTGTTCGGTGGGGAGTTTCTGGCGGTGGCCAAATGCAGTTGCAGCGATGTCCGTGCAAGGCCCTTACGCCCCAGCAGCTTCGTGAGTGGTACGCCAGTAGGTGTGGTGGCGGCGGCCGTAGTAGCAGATGCGTTGGAGCTGTTCAATGCGGAGTTTCTGGCGGTGGCCAGATGCAGCTGCAGCAGCATCCGCACGAGACCCTTACGCCCCAGCAGCCTCGTGAGTGGTACGCTCAGAGTGGGGGGTTGTGTCAGAATCCCAACCACTAGACCATTGGGATAAAAGGGCTTGTTAAGTAGCGGGTCAGTGCGCCCATAACCCCCCAGGACAACGAGCCTGTAACCCTTCCCTAGGATTGATCGGGGATCACCAGTGGACCTCTGACACCCCCCCGCACTAGGATGCCCAAAGTGCAAACACTGGGATTCGAACCCGAGACCTTCGCTCTGATACCATGTCAGAATCCCAACCACTAGACCATTGGGATAAAAGGGCTTGTTAAGTAGCGGGTCAGTGCGCCCATAACCCCCCAGGACAACGAGCTTGTAACCCTTCCCTAGGATTGATCGGGGATCACCAGTGGACCTCTGACAGGTTGTCCATTGCCCGTACGTAATTCGCACAAGTGATCGGGCTGGTTAGACTTGCAGGTTTCTTGGTCACACACAGGCTCGCTGCTTCGCCTGTCTGAGCAACGCCTGGTGTGCAGTGTTTGGCGGCGAGGCTGAGCTTCCCCGCTGGCTAGAGCTGCTTCGGAACAAGGTGGATATATTTGGTCTAGACTATGACACTATCTTCATTGCCATATATGCTTTGACTATTAGTACACAGAGTGACTGGTACCTGTGTGTGCAGCCTGACCCTGGTATAGCAGCAACTGCTTTAGGTGCTGGTGAGTGTGCTCTAGGTGCTGGTGAGTCTGCTCTACGTGCTGGTGAGTCTGCTCTAGATGCTGGTGAGTCTGCTCTCTCTGGTACTGCGCCTACTGAGGCCTTGCACACCTTCACGCTTGACTCAGGTGCTTCTTGCTGCTTCTTTCGCGACAGCACCACAGTCACACCACTCGCAACATCGGTTGCAATCTCTCTGGCTGACCCCTCTTGGGGACCGGTTTGTGCACGTTCCTCCACTTTTCTCCCGTGTCCGGTGGTTCCATCTGGCTCATTGTCAGGTTTTCACCTCCCCTCGTTCTCTACGAACTTGGTGAGTAACGCCGTCCTTCACGATGCTTGGGTTGATACCTTTACCTTAGGAGGACAGTGTGTGGCGATCTGCACGTGTGCACGGACGGGCCGTCACCTGGCCACGTTCACCCATCGGCCTGGGTCGAGCCTGTACACACTAACTACTTAGCCTCCTCAGGTAGCTGTGTCTGCATCCGTGTCAGGTTAGCTTGCAGCCCCTTGTTCGTGTCGACTCCTTTCGCACCAGACTCTCCTTTTGCACCACCACCTAGGTAACCCCTCCCTGCCACGACTACGTGGCATGCACTCCCGCCTCCTTGTCTTTGGTCTTCCCAAGTCTCTGCCTCCCCTCCCACCCTCGCCTGCCCCTCCCTGCCTTCCCTGTGTCGAAGGGCAGCAGCGCGCCGCTCCTCACTCCTCCTCGTTTCCCGTGGAGACTGCTCCCCTGCAGGCTCTCCACATGGGCGTGTGGGGCCCAGCCCGCGTCCAGGGACAGGGTCGCGAGCGATAATTTCTGCTCGTTGTTGACGACTACTCGCGTTACACCAAGGTCTTCGCCTTGAGCAGCAAGGGGGAGGTACCTGATGTTTTGATCCCTTGGATCCGCTGTGTTGGTCTTCAGCTTCGCGAGCGGTTTAACACGGACCGTCCTGTCCTGCGGCTGCACTCTGACAGAGATGGTGAGTTCCCCTCTGACCTCTTGTGGGACTTTTGTCGTGGGGAGGGCATCCTCCAGTCGTTCACGCTTCCGGCCTCTCCACAGCGGAATGGGGTTGCTGACCGCCGCATTGGCTTAGTCATGGAGGTCGCTCGTACCTCCATGATCCATACGGCTGCTCCCCATTTTCTGTGGCCGTTTGCGGTCCGGTACGCTGCGCATGAGCTCAACCTCTGGCCCCGTGTCTCTTTGCCAAAGACCTTGCCTACACTGCATTGGACGAGAGAGGTCGGCGATGCGTCGGTGTTACGGGTCTGGGGCTTTCGTGCCTTTGTCTGTGATACCTTCGCAGACATGCTCTCCTCGCGCGCCGTTCCTTGCGCCTTCCTTGGCTTTCCCCCTGACACTCCTGGCAGGCAGTTTTACCACCCCACCTCGCGACGTGTCCTACCCTCTCAGGACGTCACATTCGACAAATTGGTTCCCTTTTACCATCTCTTCCCCTACCGTACTGCCCCTCTTTCCTCCCCCCCCCCCCCCCCCGCTCTTCCTCGCTCCAGGTCCCCCTTCGGTAGACCCCCTCCCCCCTCAGAGTCCTGCTCCTTCAGGTGTGTCTCAGGTAGACCCACTCCCCTTGGTTGAGCCTGTCGAGGTCACTAGTGTCTCTGGTGCTGCTCGGGATGCTGCGTCTGGGGGTGCTGAGCCTGCGGTTGCGGAGCCTGAGCGTGCAGAGCCTGGAGGTGTTGAGCGTGAGCGTGTGGAGCGTGGGGGTGCTGAGCCTGAGCGTGCGGAGCCTGGAGGTGCTAAGACAGCAAGTGTGGAGCCCGGGGGTGCTGCATCTGAGCGTGCGGAGCCTGGGGGTGCTGAGCCTAAGCGTGCGGAGCCTGGGGGTGCTGAGTCTAGGGGTGCTGAGCCTAGGGGTCATGCGTCTACACTACGGGAGCCTCTCTCACCATAGCAGTTGCGCGAGTGGAACGCTCGGCTTTGTAGCCTTCGCAGTGGCGCTGCTGGAGCTGGAGGCCCTGGCGCTGCTAGTCCTGGAGGTGCTGGAGGTATTGCTGGTTCTGGAGGTACTACTG